GAGATGGCTTGATTTCATTTTCAATCAGTCATTTGGGTGCCACCAACGACGACGACGGCGACCCGATTCCGGGAATGCGTTCCATCCTTCGCCGCGTCGTCGTCGTCATCGTCATTGTTGCACTGGAATGCCGACCATTTTACCTCCCTATTGGTCTCGCCATACAATCCCGACTGTTTACCGCTACCTGCTCATTATGGGTATGCTACTGCCAAATGGATCCATCGAGTTCTCTGCCTCTTTCCAAGTTGCGAGGAACACCTAAGAACCTTGTGGACCGCATCGCTTTGAGTTTCAGAACATGATTAGGTAGGTTCCCATCCCACCTATCCTGCAAAAAAGTGACGACCTCATCTCTGTTCTGAACCCACAATCGTTTACCACTTCTTTGGTACCTCAAGTTTCAAGGTCTCGGAAAATTGTCTTGAATTCCGTGCTGTCATCAATTTCTACGTACAACTTATACTTCCCGTCCGAGGAAATTTTCCCCCATTTGCCTATCCACCACGTGATGACGGTCCTTAACCCTACTTCTACATCCCATTGGCTTGTTTGCAATTCCACTTTCTTCCATAAACTTACCTACGAGCTTCATCATGAAATTCCTTGTCCTAGAAATGATTGAAGCTTCCCCACCTTTATTCGGGAAGAATTACTCAACTCTGAAATCTTTTGCCTGATCTGGCTGCCCAATTTAGGAGTTTGGGGACTGAGTGCCATCTGAAGAGTATCTGTCGATTGAGAATCAGGAATCTTCCGCGGAAGAGTCCTATCCTGGTTCCCATTTCAGTAGAGACGCCCCTAGGCTGACGTGAACTTCCCATATGCTGTGAGTCCTACCCTTAGCCGAAAGGTATCGGGTCTCGAGGGTAAGCGGTTTTGGACCTATTGGCCGTTCCAGACCGCAACACCACCTGCTACTAGATTAGCAGAAACTTATGGAAAAAGCTAAGTACAACCAAATTCTTGAACGAATGTGGGCAGAAATCCAATTCCTCGGTTAGCAACACAGGAGAATGGCCTACAAAAACTAAACAATTGACATTATTGGAATTGATTAAATTTAATAACCTAATTCTTTCCATGTTACAGTATACCGGTGTGAAACTGGATAGAGTCGGAGAAAAAGGAAAAAAGGAGCGGTACATGCGTAATAGGCTTAGCGAAAGCCGATCCACATAGGGAAGAAATGAGAGCGGTGGTGATGATGATGGGGTGAGGAATGCCAACATCGTCGCGGGGAGGTAGACATTAGCAAAGGCGAAAGGCGCTAATTAGAATGCGATCCAAGGTCTAAGGTATATGTGTGCGTGTGGGACGATGGGGCAGGTCTAGGAGGAGGCCACGATACTCCTCGGCCACCGCGGCACTCAGGTAACTACCCCGAACACCGGGTGGCCCTTCCGGAAAATCAGACTGGACAGATTGGCCGAAGAACCTACATAATAGAGACTTTAGTGAAAGGCGGCATGACTTCAAGTGGGCGATTTTGGTCAATCTGGGAAGGGCACGATAGAAATTCCGGTAAGTACTAATTATTATTCAGCAAATTATTTTAAATCCAGTAGGACAAGTGAAATCGCTTTTCGTAGGCGTCATTTCGGAAGCAAACAGAGGGTTTTTTCAATTACGACGGGGAAATGGAAATCGGGATGTGACAATCTCTGCCATCTTCGCTTTCATACTAGTCAACATCCATAGAGGCAAAATTACGTAAAAATCGGAACCGATCAATAGCTATACCCAACATTACGTCTCTATATGAATCTCAAAATGTTTAAGAATCCCCGCCTACATCCTAATAACTAGCATTTTGGAAAATACAAGTTTGGAACTACATTGTCCCTGTTGGGCAAAGTGGTGAAAAACTTGGATGATTCGAGAACTAACTCAATCTCCAGTCTCTGTAAACAAGTTACCCAGCTGGCTGCAATCCCTCCTTCCCTTGATTCCTTGAGATATCTGAGAATTAAGGGCTTGCGTTTGAAAAACCTAAGGTAATAAGGTGGTAATGGTCATCTGAGTCCAGAAGAAACTCCCAGATTCAAACTCGTGGACCATCGAGAAAGCGAGGTTTCAAGGTGGCAGAGCACAAAAAGAACCTAACTTCGAGAAACAGTTGACACCTTCTTTGAAGAAACTAATTAGAGAATTCGATTTCATTTTCGGCTGGTAGTAAGGTTTGAAACCGGTTTTTCGCTTTGGTAACCGGCAACGGTGATGGTCGTGGTCGTGTAGGTGGAGGAGGCGGAGGCGGCCTGCAGTGGCAGCAACGATGGCAGTAGGAATTGTCACTGCCAGAGGGTGAATATCCTCAGAAAACATTACAATGACATATGGCGTTGTAGTGTTAGTGAAAAGGCACGTTCTTACAATGAAAAGTCCCAATGGAATGTTCTGGAAAGATCTGGAAAAAAGATGAAAAATGAAAAGATGAACTCGGTAGGAGTCTGAGCAGTAACAGTGGGTGAAATGACTTGGTGGCAGTGAAATGAGGCCGGCGGGGACAGGCCTAGGACCGCCACCAGTGCAGCAGCCGATATGACGGGGAGGACGGCGACCGACGACCGACGACGACGATGATGTCCGTCCGTCAGTGGTGGTCGTCATCTGATCCATGACATTTTGCATAAGTGCGACTGCGACGAATGAGACGGAGGGATTTCATTTCAATTGAGGAACATACGCCACTCGTGGGGGGAGTCACACTCAGTCACTTCAGCGTCAGCTTTGCTTCACTTGGATGAGCGCCGTCCGTTCGACAAACGGCCTAGCTTGTTGGCGAGTTGGGTGGCTTGCTGGCTGGCTGGGTGGCCGCCTGGCTACCCACGACGGGTATTGACGACGAGTATTCTCCGACCAGTTCTTCTTTGAAGACGAAGCTTTCCAGAACTGGGCTATCACTTGCTTTTTCAGCCTTTTTCTTCAAGTTCCATAGCAAACGGCCAATTGAACTGATCCCAAAATTACCAGTTTTCATCCTCGATTTTCATTTTACTTTGAAATTGAATAAAAATACTCCTAAGGCCCCTGTTTAAACAATAAAATCAACTAGAACTTTACCGAACTGACATTTATGTCGGGCATTTCACATCGTTGCTCGTCAAGTCGTTGACTTTGCATCTTTTCCAGTAACGTGAGGAAGTCAGTACTCTGTAATTGACAACTCTAACTGGTTGGTCCAATGCCCGAAAAACGAAGAAACCAGTTTTCAACTTCAGAAACGAGTTCTATCGAATGCGGGAGTTCTATATATAGTAAAGTTACTAGTAACGGGTAACGATAGCCGTGGGAGTTTTATGGCAAAATTTAATTACTTATATGGCAAAAATTTGGAATTGCATGCATTCTGACAAACAATACCAAATCATCGATTCTTTCTGAAAAATTCTTTTTTTCTTTGCAGTCTCGACTTTTGATTTTCCCATCCAGATAATTAATATTTATAGAAGAAATGATTTCTAAAAATATTTATTGGGGGTATACATAAGTTTTGCCGAAGCCTTTACCCAGAACCCTATGTTAACCTTGCATCTCTCTTGTTATTTGTTATCATTATATTAATGAGAAATCAGTGGGGAACTGGTTTTCGAAAAAAACGATCGAAATTAGAATAAACAATTCTGAAACCATAAACAAGTAAATAAAGAAGGACGAAAATGTCGTTAAAACTAGGAAACTAAAGGATCATTTATTGGCGACTAGGTCCAGCTTCAAGCCGGCCCTCCTTTCTGTCCTCAAATTAAATTATCCAACCAGCTGCTACCACTGTGGTAATGTTCCCATTGACCAATCTTTACCCCTGCCCAAAACTTTATGTAAATAAGCATAAAAGAATAAGTAGGTCGCACAGACCCAAACACGCTCAGCCAAACTAACCGGAACCCTCTTGGAAGGTTAGAATTTGGATTTTTTTGAAAACGAAAACTCATAGAAAAGACCTGTTTTGTTGAATGGTTTCCTGTAAAAAATGTATGCTTCCCAATGTACCCTTTTTAATTATAAGTAGTATGCATGGCGCATACTGAGCACAACTGTAAGACCTTTTATGACTGAAGTTTTTTGTGCGCGTAAAGCCCTCAAACTTCTACTATGCATGGCGCATACTAAGCACACAACAACATTAAGACAAGTACTTGACGAAAGTGGGATAAAATAGGTACAGACTACCGTTTAATGGATGTACCCAACTTCTGTAAAGGTTCCACATAAACGATACAATTGAAGACCTTGGGTCTGGCCCATCCTTGGGATGTACTTTGAGGAGGTTTGTTAATGACTCCTAATATACCGACACTCTTAGGGTACAGACACATAAAACTCCAGATCTGGTTTTAGGAGAAATGTCCAGCGGGTGACGCAAACGTCTTATGATTTGAGTGGTGACATAAGCATCATCTTGAAGCTAAACGACCAGAAATTGGTGGACATACTAGCCCATAGGACCGCCGCAGCTAATAGCCACTGTAGCCGACTTTGGCGAACTTATGGCACATTCCGAATAGGGTTTCAGAAGCCGTATCAATGTACCGAAGGGTCATAAATACCTATAATTGATGATAAAAGTCTATAATTAGTCATCTTTATCGATAATATGCCATTATGTTTTGTATAGAAGTCATTACCAGTATGGCCCCTTAGTAGAGCTGAGTATCAACAAAGGACCATTGATCCTCCACTCAAAATTTTGTAGTACCACTTGTAAATAGGACTTAATTAGATAAATACTCACCTTATCAGGACTGTAGGGCACAGCTGTAGTAAACAGTGAACTTCCACGCATTTTGTCGCTCTCAATATATATGTCGCTGTTCATGGAATTACGCCTGAAATACAGTAAGTAGTACGAGGTAGTTCCAAATAATTCGAAAAAAGAGGTCCCGAAGCGATTACTCTAGCGATTAGTTTTTTAATTTGGGGGGAAAGTCTGGGATTCAACTTGGCATGCATCGATTTCAATTAGATTTTGGAAGGAGTTTATGGTAAAATGCAGATGAGCCCCGATATTTGGCAAAAAGTTCAACCTATAAAGGGCCCAATGGCCAGAAGAAACGACCCTGCACATTTTTTCTTTGGAAAAAAAAAACAAAAAAAAAGTTGCAAAAAAAATTATAGGATGAGATGGGAGAAATGAGCAGCTGTGAAGGACAATCACCAATTTAAAATGTATTCTGGAAAAATTAGCTGCTCGATCTTTTCAGGTTGCGCCACGCATATGGCTAGCACTGGCGATTTCCGTAGCAGTTGTTAGCATTCTGGTTTATACAAAGCTAGCCCAGCCGAGTTTGAATCAACAACTATTATAATTTCGTATTTTAAACAAGTTCAGTCTCAATTAATATACGCCGAACGAGGATCCGCTTGAGTCAGAACAGAATTCGATTCAAGCGGATCTGATCTTTCGACGAAATTCACGGAAGAGATACGTATTACTTATAGTAACTTCACCATCTTATTTATTTCTTTGAATTTTTCAGTTTTATGTACCTATGTTTGTTTATTTGTGGCAAGAATTGGCACTAAGGATTTTTCTTATATTGAGTGGTTAATTTTTTCATATTTGCCCCTTTTTTTATAATTGAGGCAAATTAGGACTCAAAACAACTCTCGCACTCGGCGCCCGAAATAATCCTGACTTGAGGTTCCCAAAATCCGTTTATTTCATTGACACCGTTTACAAACTCCGCGGAGACAATAATTTTTTTACAAATGGACCGCCAACGAATAAGCCATACCCACGGGTTCTAACTAGAATCATAGAGGTGTTTGAATGGGCACCTTGGATTTCTACCTACTTGTAAAATTCTGAAACTTTACCCATTAAGTCTTTATGATTAAGTTTTGGTCTGAACAATTTTTATTTCTATTTTTGACTTTCGCAGAAGTCAAGAGCTCAGTAACCTAGGGCAAGTCGATTCATCAAACATAATAGTTGTCTGAGTGACAGCCATCAAACAACGATTCTGAAGGGATTAGAGTTCTCGATCAGAGACTAATCTTCAAAAGCGGATGAAAATAACCGAATCGGCTGGTGTGGTTCATGGATCAGGATTAAAAACGGCGGCGACGGCATGACAATATAGTAGAGCCAAGTTTTCGTAGCGGCAACTCACACTGAANGGGGGGGGGTTGCCGAAAACTGCTGGGCGGGAGGCAACAGAATGTCGTTGAAATTGGATGTGGCTGGGGAGGATGGCTGCTGGCGAGATTTCTGGTGCCTTACGATGTTCTTAATTACGAATGAATCTCACAAAGACTTTCAGCGGAAAGAAAGGAAGTGTCAAAGACGATTTACTGAACAATAAGGCCGCTTTGGTCTCCATCCGTTGTAATGCCAAGGACTTCTGAGAAGATCCTCTCATGAAGACCAGTTAGTGAGAAATTACGGTATAGCGTGAGTATAGGTCATGGGGAGATTGGCGTAACTGACTCACATTGTTGAGGTCATTCCTTGGCGAGGTTCCCGTACGTAATCGGCTTGACTCCACCGCCCCCCGAAAACTGCCAAGGTCATGGGAGACTCTCAGTGAATATGCCGAAACAATTCCACGTTCCAAAGCACTCTTTATGACCTTAGAAAGGGATTACAAGAGAAATTAGTAAGTACCCTAGAAGGCTTTTGAGTTGAAAACATTGTCCACACGGAGCCTTTGAGAGAATGAGTTTGAAGACAGGGCGAGGTGGTGGGGATAAGAATTAACGGACCCTATTAGCTTGTTCGGGGGGCTGAATCAAATCCAGCGATCGCTTTATCCCCGATGATATCTGCTTATCCCTGATATCAGTCATGCCTTCAAGAGTGTGAAGCTCAACTGCTCCTCATTCCTTTCCCCATAGTACAGGCCTGTATGCATTCAAATGGCTCGGAATAATCACGATGAATTCAAGTTCACGGCGCAATCCAACTGGGTAAATAAATCATCCAATCATAGAGGATTTTGGTCACTTATGAGGATTTTCAGAGAAATTTGGAATTGGTACTGTTAGAATTAACTATTATACCCAGGAATTTCGTCAGTAAAGTTAAGTAACGAAACTTGACACCATGGCCGGCCGCGACGTAATGAGTATAGCTATCGGAGAGGTCTGTCCAATTAATTTTTTTCGAGCCTTAACTTGTATTTCTTCGGGATGGAATTGTAATGAGGTTACTACTAGATAGATAGCATTACCCTCAACTATGACTGAAGTTGAATGAGTCTCTGAACTCTTTCGTACAACTGGAATGGGAACAAGTTCTACCTACTTCTTTAAATTCCAACCGAAGAGAATATGGTATTTTATTGACAAAGAAGTTTATCGATTTCCCTTTTAGGAATGTCGATGATGAAAGTTATACGTAATAAATTTCAACAAGTTCTACTGCCGTCTTCATAGGATTGCAAGTTACCATTCCTTATCACTAAGTATATTTCGGAAAACAAAATGTCTCAAAAGTTCCAGATACAGCCTTTTGGGGAAGGATAACCGGGTTAATTACAAAAATAGCCGATTAAATAAATAGATGAGTAAATAGACCACCTAATAAATATTCAACTAAATGAAGAAGTTAATAAATAAATAAATAAGTAAATAAAAAAAATAAATGACTGCAGAGTACTTTGGCATTTTCGCGTATCACTATCAGAAATGAGTTGA